GGGCCCCGCTCGTTCCGAATCGTGCTCCCGCTGCAGCGCTGGCCTCATTTCCGTGCTTCCGCTCGTTCCGAATCGTGCTCCCGCTGCAGCGCTGGCCTCATTTCCGCGCTTCCGCTCGTTTCGACTCGTGCTCCCGCTGCAGCGCTGGCGTCATTTCCCGTGCCATTCCACGGCATGCAATGCAATGCTAGGTTGATACTACGCTCTGCGGCGCTCTTCTACGCCATGCCACGCCGTGCTCTACAATGCATCGCGTACCCTTTCGGGATCCTTGCCCTGCTCGACATCCGATTGTGCGAGTAGAGAGGGGATCTACGCCATGGTAAGGGATGGGACGGAGGCAGCGCTGACCTCATTTCCGCGTTTCCTCTCGTTTCGACTCGTGCTCCCGCTGCAGCGCTGGCGTCATTTCCCGTGCCATGCCACGGCATGCAATGCAATGCTAGGTTGATACTACGCTCTGTGGTGCTCTTCTACGCCATGCCACGCCGTGTTCTACAATGCATCGCGTACCCGTTCGGGATCCTTGCCCTGCTCGACATCCGACTGTGCGAGTAGAGAGGGGATCTACGCCATGGTAAGGGATGGGAGGGAGGGGTAGGATGTCAGATATGACGCGAGCGCACCTAGCTTGCCCCCCCCCCTCTCTCCTGCCCCCCCCCATTTTCCCGGGGGCTGGCAGGGGGGGGAGGTGCAGAGCCTCTCTCCTGTCCCCCCCCCCCTCTCTCCTGTCCAGCCCCCCCGCCCCCTCCCTCCTCTCTCCTGTCCCCCCCCCTCTCTCCCCCCCCCTTCTCTCCTGTACAATTACTCAATATGAAAATACTCCCCCTCTTCCCCTGATGGCGTCCAGGTGATGGCCGCGCACCCTCCGCGTACTGTTTTTTCACACAGGATTCCCGGGAAATCCCGGGAAACGACTCTCGCTGAGGCGCCGGCGCCATTTTTTCCCAAAATGCTGCTCTCGTTGAGGCGCCGGCCTCATTTCTGCTCCCGAATCGTTCCGAATCGTGCTCCCGCTGCAGCGTGGGCCTCATTTTCGGATCGGTGTTTGGCCTCCGTCGTTCAGGATGGCGTTCTCGCCCCAGCGCGGGCCTTTTTCTCGCGCGCCCATCCGCCCGCCACCACCGCGCCGCACCACCACCACCACCACCACCACCACCACCACCACCACCACCACCACCACCACCACCACCACAACCACAACCAGCACCAGCACCAGTACCAACACCACCACCACCACCAGCACCACCACCACCACCACCATCACCACCACCACCACCACCACCACCACCACCACCACCACCACCACCACTACCAGCACCACCACCACCACCACCACCACCACCACCACCACCACCACCACCACGACAACCACGCACACACGCACGCACGCACGCACGTGCACCACCACCCACTACGCACGCGCGCGCGGAGCCACAGGTCCGCTACGACACGCGTCCGCGGATAGAGAAAATCAGCGCCATGGTAAGGGATGGGAGGGAGGGGTAGGACGTCAGATATGACGCGAGCGCACCTCCCCCTCCCCCCCCTCTCTCCTTCCCCCCCCTCCCCCCCCTCTCTTCTGTCCCCCCCCCTCTCTCCTGTCCCCCCCCCATCCCCCTCCCTCTCTCCTTTCCCCCCCCCCCCTCTCTCCTGTCCCCCCGTTCCCTCTTTCCTGTCCCCCCTCCCCCTTTCTCCTGTCCCCCTTCCCCCTCTCCCCCCCCCTCTCTTCTGTCCCCCCCTCCCCTCCCCTCTGTCCCCCCCTCCCTCTCTCCTGTCCCCCCCTCCCCCTCTCTCCTGTCCCCCCTTCCCCCTCTCCCCCCCCTCTCCCTGTCCCCCCCTCCCCCTCTCTCCGGTCCCCCTCCCCTCTCTCCTTCCCCCCCCCTCTCTCCTTTCGCCCCCCCCCCCTCTCTCCTGTCCACCCCTCTGCCCCCCCCCTTTCCTCCTGGGAGCTGGCAGGGTGGGGGGAGGTTCCGAGCACGCAATTCGTCAGGTAATTACGTCCCCCCCCCTTCCTCCCTCCCAAGCAGAGCTAAAACTCATGTTGACGCAGAGCTTCAGCTTAGACTTCTTAAACTCACACGCCGGATCGGCGGATTTCTTGAGGCTTTCTTGTTGCATCCGAACTTACTCCGACCTGGCACGATGGTGTAGAGACCTCTCGCCTGGGCCAAGACGGTGTATACACCATGCCGATGCCCAGGATGTCTCGCCAGAGACAGGCACGGCGGTGGTGTATAGGTGCCTTCTACATGTGCCCTCCCTTCGATTTTCGAGGATCGATGCTTTGGGGTGTTTGGGTGTTTCTTCTGGCCTCCCAGAACCTGGGGGCCTCCAGAGACCTCCAGAGATCGAGGGAGACCTCTTGAGACCTTCGGCTCCGCGCGACAGAACGATCAAAGGAGATGTAGCCGAGATAGGTCATAGGGAAGCTTCCACCAGAACTCAATAAGCCGACCTAGATTTCCCGCCCCCGCGCCCCCTTTCCTTTCCTCCCTCCATTTACATATCCCTTTACAGTTGCGCAATGTTGCGTACAACTTTCTGCTCTCCCCTGGTACTCTGCGATGGTGTCTTCGCCTCTCCGGCGAATTGCTTTTGCATGCGCAAGATGTGAAGCAGTTGATTTTGCAGGATGGCAGATGTGGCGCGAGCTCGCCTAGCTTTCCTCTTATTCTTTCTCTTCTCCTCTCTCTCTCTCTCGTTCCCCGTTCCCTCCCCTGCCTCACCTGCCTCCCCTTCGTTCTGCCTCTCATACCCCCTTCCGTGTTTACCTCACTTTCCCCTTCCCTCCATCCCCCTTCTCAATCACGTATCCAAGATGAATGCTACTTCCTTCTCTCCCCTGGAAGTGTGCTGGTTTGTTTCCGCAGCCATTCCCGCACTTGTTTGCACACAGGGTTTCACGAGTTGGTATCCCACATGTGTTTTCAATCCGGACGTACTCGGTCCTTCACAAGCGGTGCTTCTGTTGGAGCGTTGGATCGGCGCTTGGCCCAAGTCGTTGCCGTCCCATTTCGTTCCCCCCGTTCCCCCTCCGCCGCCTTCCCCTGGTCCTCCTGCTCCTCCTGCTGCTCCTCCTCCTCCTCCTGATCCTTCCTCCTCCTCCTCCTCCTCCTCCTTCTCCTCCTCCTCTTCCTCATTTCTCATCATCCTGCTTTTCCTCCTGTTGATATGGCACCTCCTCCTCTAATGGAAAACAAACGCACCTCGCTGACTGCTCATCACGCGATGGGGCACTTCGGCGATCAAGGACCTGCGAAATTCACCAAGCTGCCAGACTAGTCTCCCCCTCTGTTTCGAGATCGGCACAGTCAGCCCGGAATTCCGGACCTTGTGGATTGCCGTGCCGTGCGAGAAGCCGCAGAAGGCCCCTCAATAGAACTGGCCAGATCAGCCGAATGCTAGTCGTCGCAATGTGATAACCTCTTTGGCCGCCTAAGGTGCGCCCTTTCCAGGCAGGCCCTGAGGCGTCCATTCTGAGCAGCGCAAGATCATCTGAAAAGCCCCCCCCGCCTTTGGACTGCAAGGGGGACCTCAGATAGCATCCAAACCTGAGAAGTCCCAGAGGCCCCATGCCCCCCCCTGTGGAAAACTATGGAGCCTCATCGTACAGACCACACAATTGGTAGTTTGTCTGGTTCATCCTAAGGTTGGAGCTGTCTGGGGGTCTGAGGTGGCCCAGCACAGGTTCTGGCCAGCAGCAATGGCGGTCAGATTCGAGGTGCTGGGTTCGGGAAGTTCTTTTGTTTTTTTTATGTTTCCAGGGGCCTTTCTCGGGTATTGGGACCGTCAAAATCGGAAACCAGGGTGAAACATTGCACCAGATGGCCGGGAGAGGTCCAGGAACTCATTTTGAGCGGATTGGGCCTCAGCCCCCCCCCCCTCTTGACCGAATTTCTGGGGTCCCAGCCAGTTGCGACCCCCCCGCCGCCTCCAACCCAAAGGTATGCTGCCACTCTACCATCCTCCGAGCGCTTTCCAGGAAGAGTCTTCCCCTGCGAGGCCCTCCAGGTGTGGATGAACCGCTCCGAATCTCCTAAAGTTTCTGGAGCTCTCCAGGCAACTCGGGCCGAACGAAAGGGGGGGACAGGGAAAGGGGGGGGTCCGAAATCTGCTGCATGCAGCTGGTTTCGGCTCCGGCCGCCGGGCCCATTCCTCGATATATGGGCGCCTCCCGGCGCGGGGAGGCGCTGGGAAAATCAGCTTCGTGAGCTGATTCTCTACCCTGCCCTTTGCTATCCCCCCCTGACGTTCCCCCCGAGTAACCATTCCTCTGGGGAGGCAGATCTGCAGCCCCCGTGCGGGCCCCTGGCCCTGACGATTTCGAGTGCCTCCCAGCAGGCGCCTCCCTCAGAAAGGCCCCGCAGCACCTCGCCATCCCTGCCGCCGTCCCCTGCGCCGCCGCCGCCGCCGCCCCCCCCCCCCTCCCTAACGGGCAGCTCCGTCAGCTTCTCTCCCCCTCCTCTCCTTCTTCCTCGCCCCCCCTTTTAATCCAGCAGTGCTACGTGCAGCCTGTAGTGGGCTTTGGGTAGTCACCGCGAGCCAGGTTCCTGAACCACCAATAAAAACCTGAATGACATAGTGAGTGCCGAGTCTTTTGCCAGAGGCGGACAGCGACGACCTTCGGTTCGCCTCGCCCTCGGGCGACAGCTGGCGGAAACGCAACAGCGGCGGCCCCGCCGGCGGCAGCTCGGCGGAAGGTGGCGGAAGCCGAAGCGAGATGTTCTCTTTTTTCGATCCAGGGTTCCAGAGAGGGCCCTCTGTTTTCACCCGACCCGAGATCTGCCGCACTTTGCCTGATTCTCCGAATTAAATTACGGCCGGGCATGAGATTCCGACTGATGCGGAAACAGCGGACGTTGATCGATGCAGGGCGGCGCTCTCCCCTCGGATCTCCGATGTCTCGATTGTTTTAAGGCGGGTCCCTCTGGAGCTCTGGAGATCGCCCGAAGCACGGCGGATCTAGAGTCAGGGTCCCCTCGGCCGTCTGGCGGGAGGCGACGGCCGAGCTGGTGGTGGAGGCCGTGCGCCGCGGCTTCCGCGGCGTAGACACCGCCTGCCAGCCGAAGCACTACCGCGAGGACCTGGTGGGCGAGGCCCTGGCCAGGCTCGCCGCGGCGCGCCGAGTCGTCGTCGTCGACGGCGTCGTCGTCTCGTGGTGGTGGTGGTGGTGGTGGTGGTGGTGTCGGGGTCGGGGTCGGGGTCGGGGTCGGGGTCGGGGTCGGGGTCGGGGTCGGGGTCGGGGTCGGGGTCGGGGTCGGGGTCGTCGTCGTCGTCGTCGTCGTCGTCGTCGTCGTCGTCGTCGTCGTCGTCGTCGTCGTCGTCGTCGTCGTCGTCGTCGTCGTCACTGTCATTATCATTGTCATTGTCATTGCCATCGTTATGGTGGTGGAGGCCGTCGTCGATGAAGTCATATTTAGTTTCGAATGCTCGTCGGGGCGTTCCTGGAGGTTCTCGTGGCAACGGCTGGGCGCAGCTTGAACAACTGGCCAGGGTGCAGCTCGGAAGACTGGCCAGGGTGGACCCAAGAGGGGCCCAGGGGTCGGCCTGGGCGTTTCTGGAGGCAGGCGTAGCCACGGCTGGACGCAGCTCGGAAAAGCCGGCCATGGCTCCCTGAGCAGATGTTGGTCGTGCTTGGCGCGAGGGGGGGGGGGATCGGCCCACTTGAGAAGGCAGGGGTTTTCCTCCCGGAGGCCCCGCCGCCTTCCGAGAGGCCTTCTCGGAAGCCCCTTTGTGCCCTGCCGCGAGACAGCCGCCCCCCCCTCGCCCCAGAGGCTCGCCCCCCTCGCCCCCCCCCTCTCGCCCCAGAGGCTCGCCCTTCTCGCCCCGCGGGAGAGGGCCGCCCCGCTCTCCCTCGGGGGCGTGCCCTCCCAAGGGGCCCCGCCTCCTTCGCAGAGGGTCAGCCCCCCCCCCTCCCCCCTGGCCCCTCCCCTCTGGCACTCTGCCCTCGCCCCTCCCCTCGCCCTCCCCTTCGCAGAGGGCCAGCCCCCCCCCCCCCCCCACCCCACCCCCTCGCCCCTCCTCTCTGGCACTCTGCCAGCAGGCTCGCCGCAGAGGGCATCCCCCGCGAGCAGCTGTGGCTGCAGACCAAGTTCACGCCGCTGCGTGGGCAGGACCCCCAGAGCGTGCCCTACGACGCGGGCGCCCCCCTGGCGCGGCAGGTGGAGCAGTCCATCCGCAGGTCGCTGGAGAACTTGCGGACGGACCGCATCGACTCCCTGGTGCTGCACTCGCCGCTGCCGACGCTGGAGGCCACCGCGAGCGAAGAGGGGGTCCCGAGGGAAAGGGGCCTTGTGGCTTTTCACCGTGTCCCGTCTCTCTCTCTCGTCGTCGTCGTCGTCGTCGTCGTCGTCGTCGTCGTCGTCGTCGTCGTCGTCGTCGTCGTCGTCGTCGTCGTCGTCGTCGTCGTCGTCCTCGTCCTCGTCCTCGTCCTCGTCGTCGTCGCGTTCCTCCTCCTCCTCGTCTTCTTCTTCCTCCTCCTCCTCCTCCTCCTCCTCGACGCCGAGCCGGCACGGCTTTCCTGGCCGGGGAGCTCCACAGGGCCGCCTTCCCCAGGCCCAGGGCCACGAAGGACCGATCCCAGGGAGAGCCCCAGGGCCCGGGGCGCGCGTCCCTCGGGGCCCCTGGTCCCCCACGCCAGCGGAGGAGACGCTGGAAGTCTGGGGCGCCTTCGAGGACGCCGTCGACTCCGGGGCGGTTGGCCAGCTGGGCATCAGGCAGGCTGGACCCCAAGACCCGCGTCTGGAAGAGCCAGTCTGGCCCCGGGCCCTCGCCTTCGGCGCATCCTCGCCTTCGAGGGAAGCTGGCGGAAGTAAGAAGGCGGCGGCTCCGCTGGCGGAAGGCGGCGCAAGCAAACGTGAGACGTCAACATTTTTAGGTTCAGGATTTCCGAAGTCGGCCATCTACAAGACAGTTGGCACGACATTGAAGAGCAACCCCAGCTTTGGAGGGGTACCCTTTTATTCTTCGTACCTTGCATTGGGAAGGCTTTATGGCCGGTGCCGCCGATACTGAAAAGGGACGACGACGACGACGACGACGACGACGACGACGACGACGACGACGACGACGACGACGACGACGACGACGACGATGACGACGACGACGACGACGACGACGACGACGACGACGACGACGACGACGACGACGACGACGACGACGACGACGACGACGGCGGCGACGACGACGACGGCGGCGACGGCGACGACGCCGGCGGCGGCGGCGCGGCGGCGCTCAGGGATGCTTCGTGGGGCCTCTTTGGAGCGCGCTCGTAGGCCTCTGCGGGGGGTAGTTTTGGGGTCTCTTGGGAGCATCTTGGGGCCTCTCGGGAGCCTCTTGGGGGTCCCTTCGGGCTTCCACCCCGGCCTCTGTGGGGGCCTCTTGGGCCTCCTGGGAGCTTCTCGGGGCCGAGGGCTCGAGATGTTCGTTCGGGCTCCCATGTGGGCACCCTCTTGGAGCGTTTTGGGGGCCTCTTGGGCCGTCTGGGAGGCCTCTAGTCTTGGGGACCTCTTGGGTCGTTTTGGGGCCGTTTTGGAAGCCTCTTGGGGGCCTCTTGTGCCGATCTTGGTGGCACCTTGGGCCGTCTTGGGACGGCGGGACGCCGAAAAGGCGAGAACGCCAGAATCTTCCAAAAACCCAAAGAAGAGCATCATTTAACTTTGCCTGTTGGGGCCCTCCTGGTGTGCTCTTGGAGGCCTCGTCGACCGTCTTGGCAACCGCTTGGGCTGTCAGGAGGCCATCTTTGGCGTCCTGGACCGATTGTTCGGTGATTCAGGGCCCTCTTGGATCTTCTTGGGAGCCTCTTGGGCTGTCTCGGGGCCTTCTTGGGCCCCAGGACCCCCCGGGGGAGGATGGCATTCTGACCCGGGACCCCCCTGGGACCCCCCCCAGGACCCCCCCCCCAGGACCCCCCCCCCACCCCTGGGGGGAAGGGATCAAAGGGAAAGGGCTTCCCTTCGACTCAAGTACGACGTTGCTCAATTTCCCTTTAGCTTCGCTTTGGCTGGCTCGCTTGAGGAGGAGAGGGCCAGTGAAAGGGCGGAGCGGCGACGGGTCCAGGGAAAAGGGGGTCAAACGTGACAGCGACGACGCCGAGGACGACGGCGACAAGAACGACGACGACAGCGACGGCGACGAGGACGACGACGACGACGACGACGACGACGACGACGACGACGACGACGACGACGACGACGACGACGACGACGACGACGACGACGACGACGACGACGACGACGACGACGACGACGACGACGACTGCGGCGACGACGACGACGACGACGACGACGGCGACGACGACGATGACGACGACGACGACGAGTCAAATAGAACAGCGTCTTCCACACGCCGACAGGGTCGTCGGATTCGGTGATGGTTTTCAGTTAGGATGCCTCCATCAGGCACTGGGCGAAGGGGCTCATGGTCTTGACACACGTTCTTGCGGCCATGCTTCGACAGTGCACGCCGCTTAGCGGGTGGCACGGCCCAAGAAGCGCTCCGTCCGCTCCTGGGCCGTCTTGGAGCATTCATGTGGCCGTGTTGATGCGGTCCTTCAGGCCTGTTGGGCCTTCTCGTGGCCCCCTTGGGCCGTCCACTGGCCCCCTTGGGCCGTCTTGGGCCACCCTGGGCCGTGTTTAGGGTCTCGTGGGGTCGTCTGGTCGGCTCATCGGGCCCTTTTGGAGCTTGCCTTGGGCTGTCTGGAGCCTTTCAGGGGGCCCCCTTGGTGCGTCTTCGGGGCCCTCTTGGCTCTTGGGCTGCCCTGTGCCTTTCCTCAGCATCTTGGGGCGATCATAGGGGCCTACTCGGCCTTTCTGGGCGCTCTGGAGACCGAAAAGGCGAACGAGCCCGGCTTCTTGGGCTCTTCCTTGTGGCCCCTCTTGCCTTCGAGGTCTCCTTGGGCTCGTTGGGGAAGCTTGCGTCTCTGGAGCCTCGTGGGCTGTCTTAGAGACGTCCTCGAGCTTTGTTTGGGGCATCTGTGACGCTCAAAGCTGTTTTGGCACTCCCTGTTTTCTCCCCCCACAACCCGTGCTGACACCGACACCAAGGACTTTCTCTCTTCGTCTTCCTCCTCCCCTCCTAGGAGGCCATTTCTTTATTGCTTGGGGCATGACGGGCGTCATGGCCCCCGCTCCCCCCCCCCTATGACGTAACGCTCCCCCCCCCCCCAGTGCGCTCCGGGCACTGCCGCCGTGCGCATTGGGATCCGCGTAGGTGTCCGCGTAGGAATCCGCATAGGTGTCTGTTTCGCAGGCGTCGTCGTCGTCGTCGTCGTCGTCGTTCGTCGTCGTCGCTCGTGGTTCGTCGCTCGTCGCTCATCGTCGTCGTGCGCGCGGACGCGGCTAGAGCCTGTTTTTTTCAGTCCGGGCCGATGACGGCAATCATCTGGGGGGGGAGGGGGTCGATGACGTCACGTTTCGCGCCGGCGGCGTTTGGGAATGGTTAGGAATGACGGAGGACTGGTAGCACGAACATGTAGGTGGCGATATGCACCACAACGCCTGGGTACATCACGGTGCCCGCGTGCACCACAGCGCCTGTGTACACCACACCGCCGATGTACACCACAGCAGCCGCGTGCATGCAACACAGCGTCAATTTGTGCCACCGTGCCTGCGGGCACAGCAGCTCCTGTGTACACCACAGCGCCTCCGTACACCACATCAGCCGTGCGCAACACAGCACCAGTGTACATCACAATGCCTGCGTGCATTGCAGTGCCTGTGTACGCCACGGCGCCTGTGTACACCACATCAGCCGTGTGCAAGACAACATCATTATTGTGTATAGAATTTCAGAAGGAATCCTTGTGACTAAATGGAGCGCGTGTGGATTCCAGAGAAATCAATGGAAAACAAATCCTCATGGACAAAGGAGCGCCGCTGGAATCTACGAGTCCCCCCGAGTCCGCCCGCATCACCCTAACTCCCATTTGCGTCCAGGAGGCTCCAGCTAAACTGGCCGTCCGAGAACCAAGTGGCCCGATTCAATCGACCACTCTGCGGTGCACGCTGAGATGCGCACGTGCGTTGTGCCGCCAAGCCGCACGACGGTGTAAGAAGGAGGAAAAGGAGGACGAAGAGGAGGAGGAGGAGGTGGAGGAGGACAAAACGTCGCATTCGATTATCAGAACTTTCTTGGCGTGGCGCTTAGTTGTCCGCATCAGATCCTGACGTACATTCTCCTTCTACCTGTCCTATGCACGCAGGCACTGTGGTGTACACCAGCGCTGCGTTGCACGCGGATGCTGTGGTGTAGACAGGCGCTGTGGCGTGCATAGGCGCTGCGGTACACGCAAGCACTGTGGTGTACACAGGCGTTGTGTTGCACATGGCTGCTGCGGTGTATGTACACCAGCGCTGTAGTGCCCCCAAGTATTGTGGTATACGCGGGCGGTTCGTTGCACACGGCTGTTGCGGTGTACGCAGGCGTTGTGGTGCACACGCGCAGCGTGGTGCACGCGAGCGTTATGGTGTACACAGGCGCAATGGGCAGATCGCCACTTACATGCTGCTCGCGTCGTCGTCGTCGCTCGTCGCTCGTCGCTCGTCGCGTCGTGCGCGCGGGCGCGGCTGTGGTGCCGGAGCCACACGGCGGGGGGGGGCGTCACGTCATACCCCCCCCGCCCTCCTCCCCCCCCCCCCATGACGCCCGTCATCGCCGAACATAAAGAAACGCCTTCTAGCTTGTTCATGTGTCTCGCATTGCATGTATCCAGACAGGCCACATTTTCTAGGCCACGGCCTCACCCACCTGGTCTGAGCTAGGCCTGGACGCTGTCCGCAATGGTGGTCGCATCGCATCGCATCGCACCCCCTCCCCCAAACAAAATATGCCATCCTGGCATCACCGCCTCTTCCCCAGGGAAGGGCTTGAGGAGGAGATCTCACACGCCAGTGAGTGCCCAGGAGGCCCGCGAATTCCACTTGACCACTTCGTTTTCTGAGCATACCTGAACTCGAGTGTGGCGAAGGCCTTCTGGGCGAGATTCTAGTACGTAGGTTTCTTGGATTTCAGCCTGCTGGTATCAGCAACTGCTACGACCTGGACACTTTCAGGGCGTTGTACGAGAGATCGCGGGTTAAGCCGAAGGTGCTGCAGAACCGCTTCTATAAAGAATCCGGCTACGATGCCGACTTGCGGAGTTTCTGTTTGGAGCGGGGAGTGACATACCAGACTTTCTGGACGCTCACGGCAAACCCGCACATTCTGAAAGGCGATCCCGTCCGAGAGGCTGCGGGACGTCTGCGTGCGACGCCAGAGCAGGTGCTCTTCTGTTGGCTGGTTCAGTCTGGCCACCAGCCATTGACGGGCACCCGTTCGCCAGAGCACATGTCACAGGATTTGGGCGTCGTCAGCTTGCGCTTGTCGGATGCGGAGATGAAGGGGATCTCTCAGCTATTCGAGTCACCGAAGAGTGAGTCGGGCATGTGCGCTGTACTGTGACATCTGGCACAGGCCACTCGATCTGGCCCTTGCTCCGCTCTGTTGGGTTAGGCTAGTCACCTCGGTGTCCTTCCCGTTCTTTCCCGCTCTCGGGCTTCGCCATGCCAAGCGCAGGGTCTGATGATGGTTCAGATACTTGGAATCAGAATGTCAGTCGCGCTTGTTCTACGCAGCGCTTGACGTTGTCTGCAGATCTATGCAATGGTACCAGCGCCTGGGCACAAAACAGTGAATTACTCTGAATGCTCCATTCGCGTCGTCTCACTTGCCCTCGCCTTACTCATGTTATTCCCGGTAGGTGCCATTCCGTCTTCTTCCAAGACAGCCCGCATTATTTCATTCCGCCACGTTGCATTCCGTTTTGCATCGTCGCACATGCGTTTCTTCTAACATTCGAGCGTTTCGCACGCAGCACGTCACATAATTCATTACGTTTGTATGTGCCGCTGTGCTGTATGCTCACCTCAGGTCATGTGTATTTCCTTCACTTCGCATCCTTCCTTTACCTTCGCCACATTCGGCGTCGCATCACCTCACTTCACGTCATGTTCGTTCACTTTACTGCAGCTTGTCATTTCAAATTACTTCACCTTCCTTGACCCCGCCAGACAATATCACCACCGTTCTGTTTTGACCACTCCACTTCACGTCGTTTCACTTCTCGGCACTCGCTTGTCTCCGCTCCACTTAAGCTTAATGTACTTCAACATGTTAGTCAGCGTGGACCCCAAACTATGCTGTGCAGCCCAGGTGTTGCACTCAATGTGATGCAAGTTGGCGCAAAGCAGTTCACAGCAATCCAACGCAATACAAAGTAATGCAACGTAGTGTAAAGCAATGTACAACAATGCAATACCAAACAAAACGAAGCAATGCAAAACAATGCCACTCAAGTCAAAGCAATGTTAAGCGATGCAAAGCAATGCAAAGCTACGCAAAGCAATGGGAAGCAAAGCAAAGCAATGCAAACCAATGCAAAGCAATGCAAAGCAAAGCAGTGCAACGTGCGAGCCTTGCACAACCAAAATCGTGACCAAATGGTGCGGCGACGGGCGGCCACATGCCGGCTGGACCGACGCACGGGCGCAGTTCCTGATGAGAGAGGTAAGGGCTTTTGAGTGCAAGCCCTATTTTGGGAATTTTTCATTCCGTTGTAGTCCTTCGTCTGAGCTCACGCTGCTCCATTTCACGCCACCCCAGTCGACTAGCACTTCATTGCTTCTCGTTCCTTTCGCTTCAACTCAGGAGGCATTATTCCACCTCTTTCACCGCACTTTGCATCATATGAGGTCCGGACCACCAAGAAGCCCAGTCTATGTACCGCAGTGACTGCGCGCGTGAGGCCGCTCACTTCAGCGATGGATAATCCGAGTTCCAAAAACCCTCGCGAAGAAGCACCACCTGGTGGAGGTGATCACTTTGTCGATGCGCTCTTGGTCATGACTTTTCGCCGCTGGTCCCCTTCCCCGGGACGTCTCCGACACGTTGTCAAACGCGCGCGCTGCTTGTACCAGACCGCCGCCTTTGCCCTCACTCTGGCTGGCATCTGTCCCCTGCAAATCGCTTGCCTGAGCCGCGAGGGTTCTCATGCCACGCGATGCACCGCCGTCTGCCGCCCAGCGGGCGGCCAGGCGAACGCGAACGTGGGTCCTCTTCGGGGAGGCCTACGTCGCCCGTGGCCGCTGTTCGGCAGGGCCGCGATCGCTGTGGCCGCGGCGCTGCGCCTGCTCTGGCCCACTGCCGCTGCTGCTGCTGCTGCTGCTGCTGCTGCTGCTGCTGAAGACGGTCTTGCCTTTGCTGCCTGGCTGCCCAGCCCAACTCTCTGTGCACCTTCGGGGGCGGCCGAGGAGGTGGGGTGTTGGCTGAGAGGGGGATGGATGTCATGGCCAGGGCCATGACATCTTCGTTAAGACTTGATTTCGCAGCCCCCCCCTTCTTCTTTCAATGCGTCCCCTGGCGCCCCGCTCGTCCGCACACATGCCTCAGGCTATGATTTGCGAGCCCCCCTCTTGGACGCCCCCCCGTAGCCCCCCCGAGCCCCCGACGCCTCCCCGGCTGCAAAGTTTCTCCCTGGCGCTTTCGTTCCTGGCAGGGCCTGGCCCTTAAGAGGTGCTCCACTCGTGCCGGTCCGCCGGGTGCCGCCAGGGTGGAGGCTGCCAGATGCAGATGCAGATGCCGGCGCAGAGCGGCTTCCAGCAGGCGCCCGACCGCCGACTGCCGCCATGGGGGTGAGTGTATTCTGAAGCATCAGTACTCGGCTTGCTCCGTTGCAGCACGCATTCGGCACGAGACAGCGTGTCCTCATGAGCACCGGGCGGTTTTGGCGTTCCGAGCTCTGGACCCGCCAGTTCTCAGAGATGACCCAGTGCGGCGGCCAAAAGCCTTGGGGCCGCCACTTCCGGCCTTTGGCAGGTCGTCCGGACCTAGCGTTACTCTCAAGGAGCTAATGCGCACGATTGGAACCTAATGTATGCACGACGCCTGGGTCTCAACCCAGTGGCGTTTGCACGCGTTATTGCACAGGTCTTAACCTTGTGCGGCACATGGCTATCTCCCGAGTCATTGTGGCTTAGGACTCAGTCTCAAGTGAGACAGGAAAGACGATCCCTCCATACCAATCCTTCGTTCCATATCCAGACACTCCACAAAGCGGAACTGTTGCTAGCAAGTTCTCCGATGGAGGACTCTTGTCAGGGGGCATCGTTCGGGCCAGCCCAGGCTCTCTTGGAGGCCGCAGGCAGCTAGAGCATCGACGCATCGAGCAGGAGGGGTTGTGGAGGAACATGCTGCAACAGGTTGTTACTCCGTGCGGTTTGCAGGAGCAACAACGACAAGGGCTCACCAGCACGCGAGCAGCGATTTTTTTATACGGGGATTGTTTCGGCTTCCGGCCAGGCGGTGCCATGCGATACTTGTCGTACAAACCGATGGTGCTGCTCATGTTTCCGGCAATTGTACGGATATCCTGCCGGAATCGTAACATAAGAGGAAGTAGCGTGTGCCATAAATCGATGCATGTGTACTTGCTGGCTGATGACCCGTGTTTCACAAAAGGTGTGCTTGCCGGGTGGGGGGCACTACCGTGTCACAAAGATCAGTAGTACACGCTGAGGTATGCAAAGGGGGTGGCGGACGCCTGTTCCACGTGCAAGTTCTGTTTCGACCAGGCCTTTCGATTCTGGCGTGGATGCCTCTTCGGATTTGTCATGGTCTGCATTTTAGCGGTGGCTGAAGTCCTCGGGTCTCGGCCGAGTTTGTCCCGTGGAAGCCCGAAGACCGCAGGGGAGGGTGATCAGTATAGCAGGAGGGTCCGTAGCCGCCTGGGCTCAGGCTGCTCTGCCAGCCGCCCCAACGGCCGCACCTTCGGACGCTCTGCACGCTTCTGCGAAGGCTCTCGCAGCCGCGGCCGTGACCGCGGCCCGATGGGCGGACCTCGCGAAGGGGGCCGCCGTCGGAGACGGCGGGCTCGCCGCCCGCGAGCGCAACACCTGGCAGCCCCGAGCGCCTCTCGGCGCAGGCTTCCCAGGCCGTGCCAGGGCGACCGAGGTGGCACCACGCGGCCCGTATGCACACTTCCGTTCGCTACAGACTGCCAGGCCCTCCCCAGCAACAGTTGGAAGCTCGCCTCCGCACCCACGCACGGAGGTATCGTGCGTGCCGCAAGGTGTGGTCTGAGCTCGCGTCCTCCACGCGGCCCCGTGCCCCCTGTGCGCGCCCCGCGCGGGCGCGGGCCAGCTCAGCCTGGCGGACTGCGCCGATCCTCCAGCCGCAGCGCGCCAGCGGAGGACCGCGGCGGCGCCGCGGCGCGGCGGCGTGTCCCCCGAGGGGCGGGGGCCGCGGGCGACGCGGCGGCCGCGCGGCTGCCGAAGCCAACCCGCTGGGGGTCGACCGGGCCAGGCTTCGGCGAAGGGCTCGGCGGTCCGGCTCGCCTCAGGCAGCGTGCCGTGGTCGCGTGCGCCGGCTCTTGCAGGCTCTGGGCCATGCTGGCCAGGCGGCGGCGGCCCGAACAGCGCGGCGACCGTCGAGGCGCGTCCCTCGTGCTCGGCGCCGCTCTGCTTTTCGCCTCCAGGCGGCCGCCAGAGGCCGCGCGCAGGACGTCGCATTGGTCGACAGCGTCGTCGTGTCGGTGGAGCTGTAGCTACCAAGGCTCGGGGAGCTGTTCGGGGGAGAGTGCGCGGGGGCGTGTTGCACCCGTGGCCGAAGAGCGTGGACCCGCCGCAGCAACGGGAGCGACTGGGGCTGCTGCGCATGCGGCAGAGCACAGTAAGGACGACGGAGGCACGGGCGTCCCAAGGAGCCGCCGCGCTCGTGGCAGGTGCAGGAAGGTTCTGGACGCGCTGCCGGTGGAGCGGCTGCGTGACGTTCGTGGCCCCTGGGAGTCGCGGCGCTCCCCGGAGGGGCACGAAAAACATTGGCACGCGGCACTGCACGATCCACATGCCGATGGGCTGACATGCCGCCGCCGCTTGGGCTGCCGCTTGGGCCTGGGCGTTGACGGCGTCGCCTTCGGATCCCGCAGCCTTGACTGCAAGATCGCGGGACACGGCTGCTAGGTCAAGACGCTCGCGCTTCCCTGGGCGATTGCGTGCAGAGGAGCGTCGACGAGCGCTTGTACACGTGGTTCTGGCGGATATCGCATGCGACAAGCCACGAGAAGGAGAAGGGCAAGTCTGACACTGGACCATCACTGCTGCCATCGGCAAATCTGGCGATTTCTCACGTACCTTAGACAGACAGAAACCTTGCGTCCAGGTGGACGCGTTGGCAGGAAAAGATGTGTGACCAATAGCCACTCGAAACGCTCGAAGCACAGAGGTGTGACCGAACGCCACACGAAGCATAGAGGTGTGACCAAACGCCACACGCGAGGGTGACTGCGGTTGATGAAGACGACGATGAAACCTGTTCAGATATGCTGCGACACATTGTAAACTGAAAGCACCCATTGTTGTCTCGGTCGCCCGCGCCTGCGGTTGCAATTCTTCGGCGACTCATCGCCATTGCAGACAATCCGATGTAACCAAACAGCAGGCCCATTTGTACCAGCTTTCTCGTACAATTTTTTGTGTCAACCAGCCAAAACTTGCGATAGCGATTTCGTCCCAGCCTGGTCGAGAACGCTTGCGTTGTTGACCCGTGACATGAAATAATGTGGAATTCCAAAAATGCGTCGTTAACATCGGCAATGGAAGGCATCGAGCTGGCATCTGTCTGCTTTCAACAACCACAGCGAATCCAAATAATATAATAGCCTGCCCATAACGACGCTGTCGTAGATCTTGTGTTTTCGTCTCCAGCCACGAGATGCGCGCGCGATCAAAGCAAGCAAGCCTCTCAAATACACAGCGCCCCCGACAGTCTTCATATCACCACCACTCGGTGTCGTAACCTTTTGATTTGCAGAGATTTGGATTTGTATTGTTTTCCCCCCGATTAAGCTCCATGCCATATTTGCACCCCTCCTCAACGATAGCGTTCAACATGTTCTGGAGGTTGGATTGGTGCTGGGATACTAGCAGTGCGTCGTCGGCATAAAGAACATCCTGGGTGACCACGTCTCCGGGCTCCTCGTCGAGGTGTAGCGAATCGATTGCGTCGTGCAGCATGACAGTCTGGACTGCCATAAATAAATATGGAGACAGAGCGGACACCCCTGTGCGATTCCAGCGTTTTGCCATTTCTCGGTAGTGGCGCCAGTGTGGTCTCCAATAACGAAGAAGCGGGCTGAGTAAATAGAGCGCACCATCTCCACGATCTCGGCAGGGAGCCCAAATCTTTCCAAAGCTGTGCACGTTGAGTCCGGCTTTAACCTGTCGAACGCTTTGACCCAGTCCAGCATCAGTACCAATCTCGATCCATCCACGCTTGAGTGTGCAGCATCTATCACGCGTCTCACAAGCATCAGGGCGTCTGCTGTTCCACATCCTGGGCGAAATCCGTATTGAAGGTCTCGCATGCGTGTTTCGGCACCACCTTGCAATAGCCTCTGGTGTAAGAGTGCCGCCCAAATCTTGTATCCAAATGAAAGTAATGAAATGGGTCTGCACTTTTCTGGTAAACCTGTATCCCCTTGCTTGAGAAGAAGAACTCCTTTGGCTCGCCTCCACGAGTCTGGAATAGACTTCTTATCCCAACCTTACTGGCATAAACGTAATAACACACTATTTGCGCTGCTATCATACCTAAGCGCCTTCCAGAGATCAGAAGGGATCTCGTCGGGGCCCGCTGCTTTCCCAGATTTGAGCTTTTGCAGAACCTTCAACAACTCATCCATCGTAGAACCATCTGTGCGGATAGGTAAAGTATGACCAAGCGGTGGTCGAGCTTCTGGTTGTAAATCAGGATGTCGTCTCTGCCATTGCACGGATTCGAAATAGTCGGCCATGATGTTTGCCCGTTCGGCCGTATCGGATAATGTCCCTTCTGGTTTCTTAATGGCTGCATGTTTGACTGGCTTCGGTTTGCGAAGGTATCGCACAGCGTCCTATCCGCCTCCGCCCAGATATTCTTCCAGCCATGTCTTGCGGTCTTGCTTGCCGGACTTGCGGATCATCTTGTTGAGGAGCTTTTCGTTGGCGTAGTTTCCAGTTCGACGACAGATGTTTCCGCCCGCGATCAAATCGATTGTCTGTTGACTTGGGCTGTTCGGCCTTGTCTGGTAAAATCGATGCCTCTTCATGGGAAGTTCGATGCATATCTGCCGCGGCTTCCTCCAATGTGCAATGCTGGTAGTCCGCGCGAGTCGCCAAAACCGGGGGATGTGAAGGAGGGGGTGCGACCAGCCGCCCGAGTGTCGGGGAGGCCATCAGGCCTCGGGGCAAGATGCTTCTGCAAGCCGCCCCCCTTGCAGACGCAACGGGGCGCCCTCCTCGTCCCAGACGGCAACGTGCCAACGAACAAAATTGTGCCCGCGGGTCCCCCCTTGTTGGAGAGAACGACGGAGGATGAGGAGGAGGAGGAGGAGGAGGAGGAGGGGAAGGGGGAGACAGAGGATGATGATGATGATGATGATGATGATGATGATGACGATGATGATGATGGTGATGATGATGATGATGATGATGATGCTGATGCTGATGCTGATGCTGATGCTGATGATGATGATGCTGATGCTGATGATGATGATTATGACCAGGATGAGGATGACGATGATGATGATAATGATGATGCTGATGATGCTGATGATTCTGATTATGGTA